CCAGAAGCTCATATTTGTGAATGGGTTCGATAGGCGCAACGCTAAACCAATTCATCCTGCTCTGTTCGTCCGTGGTAAACAGTCCATAATCAGACCTCAGAGCCTCTCTGATTGCCGCAATGAAGAAATCCTGCTGTACACCTCCGTGATCCACGCCCTCCTCACCCTCGTTCGCGAACCGGACCTTTAACGGCCGTTTTAGCTCCCGGATTTCCCTCCCAAACACTTGATTGAGCGCATCCTGAAGAACAGTCTCTCGCCGGACTTCTACAAGAAGATAGCTGCTGAGTGGAATGCGCATCCGCCGGTCTAGTCTCTCGTCTTGAGGATCCAAAAGGGCGGTGTTCATCGACATCTGGGTTGTCAACCGCTGCATGGTCATGGATTGCTCGTACGCCTTCGTCATGTGCGCGAGATTTAGAGCGCGGAAATAGGTCACCCGTAAATTCTCCGGGAAAAGGAAGGGATAGTCGAGAAAATGGAGAACTCCAACCTTCGGTTCGCTCTCAAACCACTGGACCGGAACATCCTTGGGATCAAATCGGTCTGGGAGTGCCCGTGTATGGAAGAACTCTTGGTCAATTCCGTACGATTGATGGCCATCATCTAAACCCCGCCATTAGCTGCACTCATCCCACCCGAATTGAAAAGGCTTACAGAGGATTTTCATCAATACCAAGCAGCACCCGACCACACTGGCCATATGAGTAGTTTCCTGGCCATCCCAAGCCTTCAACAGAATAGCTCTGCACCACTCCAAGGTGCAAACTCCCAAACCCCAACCCCCCCTCCCCCGGTCCAAGACTATTGCCAGATCTTCCCCAACCTCTCTAGCCATCCGCTCCCTCCGTTGCTCAAGCTGAAACATATCGCAATTTCGGAGATGCCTCTGAAGCCGAGGCGCAACCTGATCCCCGCGTGAATGTCTATACGCAACCGCCCTGGCCACCCGCCGCATGAGCCTTTCTGCCATCTCATCTTCAAACCAGATCTCACTGACAGCCCCCGCCTCACTGACTTTGCCACTCCCCCTAAGCTTGCGAACAGCCATCCACTCTTCCGGCGTGCTCCGGGGTACCGCGGCTGCGAGAGCGTGCAACGCTATTAATATGACATGGGCGGTGTCCTTATCCGACAACCGTCCTTCCTCGCCGGGAATTTTGAAAACCGCTTCCAGCCCCATCCAAAGCCCTTGCATAACCTGTGCTTCCCAAGCCTCATTCCAAAACAACATCCGGAACGCTTGGTCCATTTCGTCCAGATTGGGATGAATATCATCCAAACCGGGCTCCGTTTTCTCTGATACGAATGATTTTAGTAACGCTCCTGGAGTACTAAAAACGTAAAACAGACTCTGCTTAGCAAAGGCAGCAGCATCCCGAGATTGCGCACTGGTCACGGTAGGGTCCGTGCACATGTTCAATAACGCAGCACAAATCTCCTTATCCAGCTTTGTTAATGATTGGGGAGTTAGATCCTCGTCCTCGGTCATAAGCGACTGTGCTGTCAGCGAATGTTTTTCCGATCTCGAAGGGGTCAATTGTAGCTGAGAATTTACTGTTTTTGATCTCTGGTGAAGGTGAGGACCTATCGGTGGAGGAGGCATCATATTAGGATTCCGACCGCCGGGGGCAGTCATTCTAGATCTTGTGTTTGAATGAGGCGTTGGTGTCACATCCTTAAGAGCAGCTTTGGAGGCATTCGATGACCGGCGCTTTCGTGGTGGTACTGGTGGTTGCTGTAGGATCTCCTGATGCTTATGATGAGATACAGGCTCCGAGTCCTTATTTAGCCGCCCGAGATCTATAAGCTCCATTGGGTTAGAATAATCTTTAAACCTCGGAGGTTGCTCATGAAGCAAGGTTGGCGTGGCAACATCTCGCTCGTTATTAAAATCGAATGACCGCGTCGGCGTCTTTGCGAGGGAAACGGTGGATTCATTGACAAACTTCATGATTCCAACATTTGGAGGCAGTCCAATCCATTCCAGCATCTTGAACGGCTTCGTATTGAACAACTGCTGTTGAAAAGACTTTGGATCCTTCAGCCCTTTATCCGTAATCACCTCGACCTCGCCCTCCCTCAGAGCTTCCTTGGCGGGGCGAAGAGGTGCCTCCTTATTCTCCTTGTTCGACGTATCCTCTCCATCCTCAACAACCTCCTCCCGAAAGCTATTATCCCTCAAGGACCCATCCTTCTTCTCTTCGGCCGGGCTCGACAGCACCGGCGTCACCAGCTTGCCCGGGCACAAGGCTTTATAGGGGTCATCCTGCGTGGCAAGCTGGCAAGCAATGATCCTCGCCGACAAAACACTGAATTTCCTCGATGCGTTGGTGTCACGCGACAACTTCTTCCTCGCGGTATAACAAGTCGGAGTGTCGCAATGAGCTCGTTGGCAACCGTAGAGTAGCTGTTTGATGTACCGCCTCACAAGCCCCTCGAAATTCCTCGTGCGTTCAGCCGTCACCAAGGCTTCTATCTTGTCGTGCGACCTAATGAATTCCGTGTTGGCGGATATTATCTCGGGAGCGTGACTGGGTAGAGCTGAATATTCGTGGGAGAGCGAGCTCCGACCCCTGTCCTGTGCCATAACCGCACCCAAACCGCTCTCCCCTCTCTAAAGCAGATCAAACGCACCACCGTAGAGTCTGATTGGGTGGGTAAGAGGATAGGTAGCTGGTGGATGGGAAAGGACAATAGGAAGGCCAGGAGTTGGTGTTCAAAGGTCCTCGAGAGTTTCTACCGGTAACGGCGATGGCGGTGGTGATGGTTAGGGTGTTTAGAGCAAGGCAAGGGATGGGAGGATGCAAGCAGGAACTTAGGAAGAAGTTTCTCAGCACCAACATTACGGGAGCCCCAGGGTCGGTGAGACGAGCTCTGCTTACATAATCGCCCGAATTGGGGGGACACCAACTTGGCGGTATAGTATCATATTATAATCATATCATACCCGAGCAGAGCCGTGACCCCGGACCCCCCAAGCCTTCCACCGTAGTGCCTCGAAGTAAAATTCACGGGCGGAAGGAAGAACTGGTTATCAGGCTCGTATGATACAAAGCGCAGACTCCGTGAGCCCCCAGTTCAGGACGCCTCCCAAGAAACAGCAAGTACTATATCATGGACCATCCCATAACAAGCAACTCCACAGCTCTGCTACGGCTCTCCTGACCTTGCCCGTAACCAAAGCCGCTCCCGAACTGGCAACGGTATGTATAACATGACCCAACCAAAAGCCTCACATTGGAATTCCCGTACTCGGGTAGGAGGAATTCGGAAAAATCTGGGCACAAATCGCTATCATACCTTGGTGCCGGACCATACCATACCAGTATTCCGGTGGGACAAAAAAACAACCTTCCGAATTTTCAAGATTGAGACCATCTCAATAAAATGAGAGTATAATATCATACCGGCATTCATAAAGAAAGTTAGTGAATAAAAGTGTAGAATGTTTTTTTTGTTTTTTTTTTTCACGGAATTCACCCCCCGCAAGCTCGTCCATCCTCAACTTTCAGCATGGGAAAGAGAATGTCATACCTAAATGCGCACGGTATCGGTCCAACAAAAATGGCGAGCAGCACGGCACTCCACCACCACCACATCCCGAAGCCGTAAAAGATTTGAGAAACCAATAGTATAGTCCAAAATCCTTTCCAAGAATTGCCAGCTGCCTTAGCATAGGATACTAGCAATGCAAAGTCAAATGCCGGTAATGCGCCAAGACTAGTGCACCAACAATATCTCTCCCACGATAACAATTCCCCAGGCAGTTTACGAGTAAATTTAGGTAAATTACAGAGCTGTAGGGGGGAATTGTCTCGCATACGGACAAAGATCTGAACGGCTTGACTGGATCGGCGGTCGGAATGTCGTGAACATGGCTATTTTCAGAGGAAAAACCCCCTATCGCACGGGCACTCGTGTCTCCCTCCTCCCCAAGAATTCGTCTCCAATTNGGGGGCAATCAGCACCCAATCAAAAGACGGGTGCAAGCTTGGCGCGGATACCTGAGCCTTGTCTGGTCGATCGATCGTACCCAAGTTTCCCCACTTCCGAACTCCCCAAACTCAAATCGAGGGGGAGGGAGCGGTTCACGTTTAGAAAACTCCCCCAAATCTCTTCCCGGTGCTAGTGTTAGTCAGTTTGACACAAACGATCGGATTCTGGGTTCCTATGATATGGGAGGTCACCATCCTCCCTGCTCGTAAATAGCCCTCAGCGCCCACCGCATAAGGCGGACAGGTTTACCAAGCCCGGCGGAGAACCAAACTCCACAGTCCGGTGAAAACCTCCCCAACTCCTACATATACGAGTAAGTTAGTCCAGTCCGTGCGAAACCTCACACGCCGACAATGGGTCCCTTCGGGCTGCCGCCAGAACTACTACAGCGTCTGACGGGGTCAAGAAGCCATTAGTAGGAAATTATTCATTGCGGCTACAGGTATAACAGGGATTGTGCATAACTTGATTAACTTAAGACATAACACCTGTACCGTACGGTACATCCCACGTGCACTGGTATCTACAGACAGTACAGTGCTTCCGTAAGCAAACCTGCCCACCCTCGGCCGCAGCACATCTACAGTAGCGTACCCAACACGCACAGTGGACCACACCGGTACGATATCAATACTCTAGCTAGCCAAAAGTTCCATCCACCACCAAACACCGGTCCTCACCCGTATCATAACGCAAAGGCACAAGGTATGATATAACCCTCCCCGGAGAGCTCCAATTTTCCAGACAACAGAATAGAGAAAGTAACACAAGGCATCACCCACCATCCCGCAACAAATCCAAAAAAAAAAAACCCCGCCATGCTCACCTTATAAATTCCCCCCCTCCGCCTTCCATCCAAATTCGACCGGACAACGACCCAACCGATATGATGTGCGCATCCTGCACCCTACATTTCACCAGCATGCGCACAGGGTTAGGGTTCCCACAATTACGCACCACCCTTGCAAACAAAGTCCCTTTCCCGGAACAGTTTCAAGCAAGCGTACTTGGTCTAACGGTTATGATTTTCGCTTCCCAAGCGGGAGAACGGGGTTCGACTCCCCGAGTACGCAGCCATTTCGAAACACTTCGGGTGGATTCTCCCCTCCTTTTTTCTTTTTTTTTTCCTTTTCCTTCCGTCGTTATGAGGTAACTGGTTTGCGCAACATAAGGCTTGCGGACATGCACTGGGGGCAGACTGGCGCCAAGACTCCACATACTCCAGAAACTCGACCAGCAAGCTGGTTTGAGGGCCCCAGTGGCTAGCTTAATGGACGCGTGAATTTGAAAAAGCGCGTGGGATTGATGTTGTAAACTAGTGTAGTGCGAGTTGCAAAGAAAAGAGATATCATAAGCGTGTATAAAAATACGTCAAGCAAGTCTTTCAAAAACATAAATGCTGAAACAGAGAGAAACGGAAACAATGAAAAAAAAAAAAAAAAGAAAGAAATATCCTTCCCGTCAATCGCATCCCCCCAAGTTAAGTTCAAATCAAAGTCTACTCAATTCCTCCATAGCCTTATCCAACTGCTCCCTCCTACTCTGCAATTCCCTCCTCCTGCGATCCTTGAGGGGGTCTTCAACGAGGAGTTGGGCGCATAACTCGGATACTATCCGGACCATTCGTTAGTCAAAACTCAAAATTAGCAAACAAAGGCGGGGTGTACCACCATCTGGCCCATTAAGCCCCAACCCGTTCTGCAGCGCGTCCAGAACATTCCTGCGGAACCCGTTGACCAATTCCCCCTGTATGCTCATATAAACGTTATCCACAAAACGCTTTTGCGCCACTTCATTGTAGGCCCTCACTTGCGCCAAGACTTCGATTTCCTTCCTGTACGGGTCCGGGGAGTTGTCTAGCATCGCCGTGGGGAGAGCTGTTGTCGGATTTCTCTTTTTGCGTGGGGACGGGGTGGAGCCGCCGCCGCCGCCTGGAGCACCGGTGGGGTTGTTGTCCTCGTTTAGTGCTGCTTCGGCTGCCGCGTTAGCTGCGGCGAGTTTACGCTGGTCTTCCAAATTGCGCTTCCGCCTTTCGGAGACCTTCTCGTAGTGGTTTGCCATGAACGTTTGATAGTCTTCGTTCAACGTCGATATCTGCTCTCTCTCCAACCGCCATAGCCGCTCAATAACTGTCTTTTGATTGTCAAAGTTTTCCTGAACTAGGGTGTTAAGTATCTCATACACGCCTTGGAAAATCGGGGACTTTTGGTATTCTTTGAAGATGAAGGTGAAGCAGTAGTGCACCTGTCTATTCATTAACCCACCGCAGTTATTGAGGAATTCGTGCACCACAGGGCTCCAGAGGTTTATGGATTGACGGATCAGGTTTGTGATTGCCGTGGGATCGACCTGACCGGGTATGCGGGCGGTAGCTGTTGACTCAATGATGTGTCTGATTTGCGGGAGTGTGAGTCTGTGGGCTTGGGAGAGCATTAGCGGGGCTTGCCCGGAGGAGGCCGCGGCTGTGGTCACGATAGGGAAGGACTTGCTTTGTTCCATCGTCGTCGTGTTGTTCCCCGCCGCCGTTCTGGAGGCTCGCTTGGACTTCTTTGTCGGGGTGGATTGCCCTGGATCAGTCCCGTTTCTTCTCTTCTTGGACCCGAACGGTGAGGAACTTGCCCCTCCCGTCCCGGTCGCTCCTTCGGTGTCACTGGATACGGTACAAACCTCTACTCCGGCTCCTCCTGCCTTTCTTCCTCGCCTTCCCGCTGGCGCGTGTGTTGGTGAGCCATCACGGTCCCAGTGGTGTGGACGTGTGCCTGCTTCACCTTTCCTGGGAGTTTCTAGTTGCGCTGCGATTTCGTTCTCCTGTTCTATGGTTTGGAAGTAGACTGGTGTTGGACGCAGCGCTTTCAAACGACGCTGGAAGTCTTCTGCCAGACGGCGAAGTTCTTGTTGGAATTCGTTCTGGCCGGGACCGCCGAGGAGGTGGCCGCCGACGAAGGTATCGAACTGGGTTACCAAATTGTGCACAATCAGGGTTTGGTTGTCAGTCGGGGGAGGGGGAAGAGCAGCAAGCTCTTCTTGGACTTCCGATGCTTGGCCTCTGATAGACTCGATTATCTCCGGTAGTCTATGAGGTTAGTATTCGGGATATCTGAAATTTGAATTGGAGTTACCGTTTCCTGATCAATTCCCCAAGTTCTTTCGACAAGTAACTCTGCAAAGCCATTGTTCCGAATCTCTCTTTCAAATCAGTCAGCTCTGTTTTCCATGGCTCGGTATTGGCAAAGAATTCCGCTTCTTGTTCTCTCGCTTGGGCATGTGTGATCCCCTGGACAAGCTGTTCTTGATTTGGCTGTTTTGTCACAAAGTAGCCATGCTTGAGGCGGTGAGAGTGACCGCGGAGGATGTTGATCCATTGCCCGTACTCCCCCGGCCCCACAGTGTCGGGTTTAGTTAGAGCACCTGAAAACGAGGTTAGATCGTTTAAACAAACCACAAGGAAAACAACTACCGATGGTACGCTCCTCCCCAAGCTCTCTGGCAAGGCGCGCCGCCGATTGGTTCACGGCATCATCTAAAACTATTAGCAAGATACACGGTGGAGTTAGCGGGATGCCCGGCCAAACCCTTCATCGTCATGGCAAGCATAATCAAGCAATCTTCTTCCTGGACATACTCCTTTACTAATCCTGTAACTAGCTCAATAAGATAATGTTCGCTCTCCTACAGCCCCATTAGCACTGATCGCAGGTAAATCGAAAGACACAACTCACAGACTCAGTCGTCTGAATAACCCCCGGCAAATCAATGAACGCCAAATTCGGCAACTCGGGCCCAGTAATCTGCAATCATAAGCCTTCACTCCACTCTCACTGTCTTGTGTCTAGCTGCTCGAGTATCAAGTCGGTAATACAAACCTCCATGCAGACCACATTAGGACTAAATTTCACTTCAAAGTCCTCATCTCGGCCACCTCTTTTTTCTGTTGCTTTGCCTTTTCCTTTAGGATCGGCGCAACTTCCCCACCCCCCGCCAGCTCTCTGAGTGTTGCCAAACCAACCGCTTCTTGCATTACCCGTTCCGGGAGCGGTGCCTTCCGTAGGTTTTCCCTTTTCCTCGTGAACAAAATCACGCCAATTCTGCCCCGGGGTTAAAATTGCACGTTGGGCGCGGACGAGAGTTGGCTCGACCTGGCTTTTCTTGGTTATATCCAGAAAATGGACCTGTTCGGTTGTTTGATCGACCCACGGGTTTCCGCGGGTACGGCTCGTGCTTATATGATGGTGGTCGGAGGAGGTTAGGGAAGGGTCGTATCGTTTTTTGAAGCGGAGGGAGATGCGGCAGTGCCATGGATCAGTGGTAAGCGATGATTCGCGGAGATTGATTTCTAGTGGGCACTATGAGATATGTCAATAAGATCTTTTTTTTTCCAATCAGGAAGAACGAGCTACGTACCCTAGTGCATGTTCCGGTGTACCGGGGGACTTTGATCTATTAATTAATCCCCAAATTTTAGCCCCAGAACTCCAGTGATATACTATGACCCACGATGCATAAGAGCTTACACCACTTATAGCTTCAATCAAACTGCTCTTCCCGGCACTCTGATTGCCTACAACTGCAATTCTAGGCAACGGCAATCCCAAATCTTCAATCCCGGAAGCTCTAAGTCTATTAACCAAATCCACCATCTCCCTCATCCCACCCCCCAAAACATTTAACCCCCCCTCTCCCTCTTCAAGTCTTAGTTTCTCCTGAACAGAGTCGATACCGTCGATACTCACCGACCCAGACTCAATAATCATTGGCTCTGCTTCCCTCTGGGCCGCCACGGCACTGACGCCACTATTACCCCCCCTATCTCCCCCCTCTGGTCCTCCATTCGCAACACGCACGGGCTCATCCGGCACGGGTACGAGTTGCACGGTGCAATCATCCGCCTCGAGCGTTTCATTCGCAATCCGCATCTGCGGCGGCGGGGACTCTTTTTTTTCCCAACCACTGGTCAGTCGAATGCTCAAAATCGAGAAAACAACAAAGGTCATGGTGGAGACTGGTTGAGCCGAAATCATATACCCCACCTTCTAGGTGATTCTCGCTATTGTGATGTTGGGCATTACTATCATTATGTTGGGGATCGTTATTATTGCTGTTCTGATGGCTCATTACGCGAGCTTCTGCCATCGCCGAGGATTCCGGGGGGAAACTGCTGTTGCGTGTAGGCGGTGTAGGAGTTGTTGGATCCCCTGGGTGGAAGCCACCGAGCTGCTGGTGGTGCTCTCGGTATAACGGGGATTGAGCGTCGTATCTATAGCCAGAGGTGGATATTAGGTCCATTATGTCCGTCATTTTTGCACTAAGAGAATGGTAAGAAACGTGGTGATCTTGTTAGCAGGACCTTGAAGAGGTGTAAAACATTTCTGGAATTAGAGAGATGGACGAGGACACACCAAAGGTTTGGGCCAGATTAGAGAACATGGGGTGGAAATTGTATACTTAGAATAAAGGTTTTCCGCTCCTGGATATGATGGGGCGGAGGAGAAGAAGGCGAGGAGGAGGAGAGGAGAACTGGATAGTAAATACATGTCCCAGCCTCCCCCCTATCTTCCTACCCAGCCATTGTTTGTTCAAATAGTTGGTGGGAATTGTAAGTGTATACGGATATCTCGGGTTTGCTGGGGACCCGGGCAAGATGGATGTTCTGATACGATGTTTCTTCGTTTTATGTTTGTTTGGCGTACGAGACCTGTGCACGGGCTCGCTGCAGGGTCCATCTTGGCGAGGTACAGGGATTATTGTACTATATGACATCATTTTCATCCGAGTTGGGTATCGAATGGGATGAATTGTACGGGCGGTTACCGCGCACCAGTGCAGTGTGTTCAGATGAACATAGCACTCAGTTTTCGCTTGAGGCCCCTAAAATCGAAGTATTCGGCCCTTATATTTAATAGAAAAAACGGGAATACCGAGTAGTTGAATGCCGATGAGGGATTCATTGTAAGGATAGCATGATTCCCCAAAACCGTTTGGACTCGAGCCATTGGCCATATCTGTATGGTCCTTCTCAAGCACGGACATGCAGGATCAGATATTTCCTCTATGTTCAGCCAAGTTCACGACAACT